TCGAATAAGAATACGGTACGTGGCTGGGTAGCCAGTAGTTATGCACGTAATTAGATTTTACTCTATATATTTAGGAAAATCTATACATTTAAAATTAGGCGTCTTTGCCGCAGATGAACCAAATAAGTTTACATTTAAAACAGAAGAGTTTACTAGCATTGGAACAATGTTCTAACTACTTTTGGAGGTAGCGGGTTGCGATCCGCTACACTCGTACTGGTTCTTGTGCAAAAAGTAAGGTCGGTGACCTAAATTACGCTTCTCTAAGCGCAAAGCTGCGGCATCCCCGCTGCAACGCCACTGAATACGTGTGAATGACGCTATAAGGATTAGATCATGGTCACAATTACTGTTATGGTTGGACATATCCATTACAAACCTAATGGTAGTCGATTATTGGTCAAGATAAGTCAGGTAAAAAGTAATATTCTTAGAGCTAGCTCATAGTAGCGTGTTTAGGATCTTATATGTGTTTTAGTTCGCTTTTTGCCATCTTCTATACAAGTTTACACTTACCAATAGCATATATAGCAACAAATCCAACTATATGTGTTAGTTAAATACCATTACACTTTGCTGGAGCACACGCGCTTAAATCTTTGTGCATTTGTTAACGCCAATTCTTTAAGTCACATCTTACCGTGCATGGTATTCCAGCTGCACAAACAATCCGGATGGACACCGCAATGAGGTTGAGCCGGTACACTTCGCTCAAAAGCAGAACCAAAAACCTATCTTATAAGTAGACCACTTTTGCGTTTAATTTCAAGAGAGATCCAAATATAGATATGTGGCAGGTTAAAACTATACTAACTATTTGCCTTCACAATTTTCAACAGTAAGACTCTATGTATTGCCTAGTCTGAATTTAGCAGCCCACTTTTCCCGGACTTTTCCGTTACTGAGTCCCATCTTCCTAGTGTAAATTAGATGGTTCGTCATGGTTCTCACTTCGGCACATATAAGCCTCGTTCTTATTCTGAGGCACTATAGTGACAATAATGTAATGTGTGCGTACGCCATATACGTACCAAAGAGCTAAAAGTCATTAGTGCCAGAAGTAAGGTGTGACACAAAACTGCATTGCGTATGCAAAGTGAGTCTAAACTGAAACAAGAAATTTCAGATAGACCCATGGGTTATTAGTTACCAGCGTATAGTCATCAACTTGCATAGAAGCAAGTGCTACAGCAGGGCAAAGCAAAAGAAGGGGTCTGTACAGCCTGCAACGAGCCGCAGCAACAATTCAAAAAAGAAGATAACTTCAATGTCCAGCCCTTCTTTTAGTTGGAAAAAATACTGAATTAGCTTTCAGATGATCTATTTTCAATGGTTGACTAGAAATAACCAGAAGTTACTAGAGCTAACTGACAATTCAGACAAAATTAGCAAATTTGGCTTAATGTAATTGCTCTTCTTAGAAGTTAACGTGCTTGTTTTAATGAACGAGCTACTTTCTAGCTTTTAGCAAAATCTGCAGTGAAAGTACCAAGTAAATTTTACATTTCTGAAAACTTTGTAAATGTTAAGACAAGGATATTGTCACAAGACTAAGACAAATGTGTAAAGACTCCACAGTCCGTTACAATAATTGTATTGTTCCATATAGTGTTAGGGTAAGATTCGTGCCACCTGCCCCGCCTCATCTGCCAAGCGTCCACACTTGTACTCATGCCCCCCGTAAGTTTTTGTGTCCTTTCAGCGCAAACGTTCTTTTTGCGTCTCTTCGTACGTAACCATCTATACTTAACATAAAGGCAACTTCCGACCTTCCTACCTTCGAGCCAATTCGCAACGTCTCCAGCACGCTTCCGTGCGTCGTCTACCACGCTGAGACCTTTCACCATCGCACGTTCATGTCGGGTGAGTCGTCGCCGTCCGTGCCTTTACCATCCATTCCGGCTCATCCGCCGACGCATGCGTGCAAACCTAAACGTCAAAGCTTGTCGCGCTTCTTGCATCGCTCTCCGTATGGTGAGCGACGGTCGCGTGCTGTTGCGCCCGCAGACGGTAATCGTACGCAGTCTCTTGTCACGCGTAGGCGACGTGGCGCTGGTGGCAATGAACTTACAGCAAGGAGGCAAAGCAGCGTCGTGCACGTGCGTACACTCCAACGTTTCCGTCTAGCAGTTGGGGACTTTATGCGCCTGCTGAGTGTCGAACTCTTTTTCGTCATGATTGTTTTGTTCTACGGTGTGTTTGTCACAGTGCAGCTCACGATGGCCGATGATGCATTGGCGTCGTACAAACTTGCAATTGACGTGACTGACGTCACAGTCGGCTCCATATTGCTTATAGAAATCTTTTTAAAAGTGTTTGCATACGGTTTACACTTTTTAAGTGATGTATGGGCATTATTTGACGCACTTGTTATTGTTGTAAGCTTTGTCTTGGGAGTTCTGGCAGCAATGGGCACCACATCGTCGATTTTAGTCAAGATTTTACGATTACGCGTAATCTTACGAATACTTCGAGTTCTTGTCGTATTTGAGCGTGTTAAACAGCGATCGAAATTTATGAATCTCATGCACTTGAACAAAGGAGCGATTACATCACCAGTGGAGCATGTGCTGCGAGTTTTGAATGAATTAAGGTTCCATCCTGCTATTCGACCGTCGTTGCGAGATGGTTTGGATTTTGCGATTGACGTAATTAAAAATAATCGGCTTTACGATGCAAATGCAGAATTATTAGCAGTAGAAGGTGTCGATGACGATACACAAAATTGGTTGCGAGGTGAAATTTTACGAGGAAATGATATGAGCAAAGTATTGCCTGATACTTCAGCTGAAGATGAGATTAGTTCGAATCGAAAACGTCGTCGCTCATCTATTGGAAGTTCGAGCTCCGAGGAGGATGCAATGGATTCTCGTAGAAGCTCAGACGGGCGGGACGCCACCTCAATGTCTTCCCATCGACATTCTCATCAACGTTCCTTTTCTCACAGCAATCGCGGGACGACAATGCGAGACCTGTTGCCAGCAATGGATTCTCGATCCAATTTCGAACTGCAAAATCTTTTACAAAGTGTTAGCTCCTGGGACTTTGATGTCTTTCGAGTGCAAATTGTCTCGGGTGGGAATGCATTGAGTTACATTGGTCACCACCTCCTCCGTGACGCACCTTGCCAAGCTCTAAACATTGAAAGCACTTTACTTGTCAACTTTCTGCTTGAGATTCAAAGCGGATATATCGCCTCAAATCCGTATCATAATGCTATACATGCAGCCGATGTGATGCAAACGGTGCACTATTTCCTCATTCAACCGGAATTGCAGCCATTTTTACGTCCACTCGATCGTGCAATCTCACTCATTGCAGCCGGAGTACACGATTTTATGCATGATGGCTTTAACAATGGCTTCCACATTTCGACAGCATCTGAAGTTGCTTTACGATACAATGACCATGCCGTGCTTGAAAACTACCATGTGGCTCAATCTTTTTTAGTGATGAAGAATCCGGAGCGTAATGTGTTAGGACAACTATCGCCCGAGGATTTCAAGTATGCTCGGGATATGATTATCCAAATGGTTTTGGCAACTGACATGGCCAAACATTTCGAAGATGTTGCTTTATTTAAGACAAATATCTTGTCTGCTGCGCTTGACGAAGGTGCTGTGTTGGTGAGGAATGTTGGTGACAAGAAATTGCTGCTCAAGATGATTCTTCACACATGTGACGTGTCTAATCCAGCGAAAGAGCGTGAAACGATGTTGCGCTGGACTGACCGCGTTGTAGAAGAGTTTTTCGTGCAGGGTGATATGGAGAAACAACTTGGATTACCAGTATCGCCTTTTATGGACCGAGATACAATTGTGATTAAAAAAATGCAGGTGGGGTTTGCTGACTTCATTGTTTCGCCGCTTTTCAGTGTTTGGGCGCAAATACTCGTTAATTTGAATACAGTGGGATATCGCACTTTGCTCGCGAATCGTGAATTTTGGGCCTCGCTATCGGATGATTTTAAGCCACACATGATCAAGGACTTGATTCGAGATCTGCAAAAGCAGCGCGAGAATATAACGCAGGGCACGATCCCAGAGGAACCAATATCGCCTCGAACACGCCGTCATGTCTCTACTTTGCTGCTTGGGACTGACGATGGATGAAAGCGATCGTATAGAATAAAAAGCTGAAGATCGATAAATTGGCTAGAAAGGGATTAATTTGCTAACGCATAGTATTTATTGGCGACAGGATCATAGTAGCAGCGCAGAATTGGATCATACACTAGCTCTACAGACGAAGTCAAAGATGGCTGAGAATGAGACGATGACGTTTGCTCTGGTCGTTGAATGTTAGCCTTTAAAGTCGAGCGATGTAGACTACTTGAATCTGTGGAGCGACTTACCTGAGCATCCAGTTCGGCATTCCAATCTGTTGATTCAAGCAAACTTTGTAGTCGACGAGAAGACAATGACGACGAAACATCCGTCGAACGAGTCGGAGTTATATCGCGTACTTGATTGTTTCGAAAAGTTTGAGGCGACTTGATCATTGGAAACGCAATTGGCTTTATTGTCCGTGGGGACGCTGGAACATATTGTCGTTTACTAAATGCTGACTTCTCCTGAATTGTTGAATTGGCTATGATGTGGTCCTCTTTAATCTCATCTTCATTACGGCTATCAATGGAGTCGGCTTTGTCGACAAGATCCGCTGAAAACACGACAATATTGAGTGTCAATAATTAAAACTTAAAGCGAGTTAACAATATCAAACCAAACCAAAATCGAAGCTGGAATCTTTGTCATCAAGGTCTTTGTCATTGAGGTTTGCGTTCTCGAAATTAATTTTGTCTGTATAAGAATTAGCTGGGCTGAGTTCAATTGTAATGTTCTCTTCACATTTTGTGTTATGTCCATGATCTGCGCTGACACGAAGCTCGTTGGTTCTGTCAAAAATAATGATGATCCGTGATAGATATAAACGTATTTAAATTGCGTCACGTACAAGTCGATCGAAAGCCCATTCAAATCATCCTCGCTTTCGCCATCGCCTTGATTTTTTTCGATATATGATGCAGCATGCAAACTAGCTCCGTTTTTGGCTACGATACTTGGCGGACTACACGATGATTCTACCAATTGAATGCTGTCTCTAACCTTATTCATCTGATCAGCATCTTTTGATAGAGAACTTTGACTTATCTGATGGAAATACGTGCCATTTTCACCACTCGTTGATGGTTCTTGTAATGTGAGCTGTCTCTTAAGCCGTTTGGCTGCTAGGAGATTTAAGAGCTCCAGATCATCGTCGTCATCTTCATTTGTAAATTCGCATACATCCTGACTTTCAAGCTGAGTAACAGATTTGATGGTAAATTTATCTCGCTCTTCGTGGCCCAGTGAGGGCTTGCAATCTTGCAGTAAATCAAAATCAGACTGTTTCGCAGTAGATACACTTTGAGGCTCCATCAATCGTGGAAAAGCAAAGATTGATTTCTCGTTCAAGTCGCTAGCAGACATTTTTTCCTTGTCCTTGCTGTCTTGCGCCAGTGTAAAAGACGACGATGACTCATGTGCATTTGCTTCACGCAGTTCTCGTCGCCACGATACGCTTAGTTGAAGATCGTCATCTTCGTCATCTGACAGCAGACTCCTATCGATCATATCTTCATCTTGAAGCTGCTGAAGGTGCCACTCGCCACTGTGAATGGACGTATGACGAAGAAATAGTTTCTGGTCGCGTTGATCATTTTGTTCATCCTGCGCTTCTAATATTGCAATCTTCTGCTGAATTTCTCCTAAGATTGATTGACGTAGATTTTCAGGTTCAGTTTCAGAATGACAACGGCTAGTAGATGACGATTCGACTACATGAGAATGGCCATTACCGAACCGATGAAATTCATCTGCACTGCGACATTCTGGAGAAGTTGCAGCTAGGATCTCCTCTTCTTTCATCTCAAAGGATGATCGCTTGAAATCCTCAAACGACTTGTCTTTACGTTCCTTCTTCACAGAGCTTTCATCTACTTTGACAACTCGATTATGTTCACGCGATGAAAGTCCACGATCTCTTCGATAGCTCTCTCGTCGACTATTTGAGTCTTCATCAAAATTCAATTGCGGCTCTTGCATAGAATCTGTAGTCAGCGCACGCGAATGTGATTTAGTGCTATCCGTCTGTTGACGTGTGTGAACACTTTCCCTTCGTTGAACACTAGCTTTTCTACTGGTTTTCGCGGGGACGGCTAAGCCTTTGATTCTACCGACAGATGAAGCCGTTTCGGCGAAATAGAGCGTAATAACGGGTTGAAGGTCATTAGATCCATGCTTTTTTGCTGAAAAGCCAAACTGTCGTGGAATTTCTCGACTGTCAGCGTAACTATCAAATTGTGAGCCAATTGATGGAGTGGGAGCATCTTTCATGGTGAAAATGCGCTTGAGTCGGCAGGTTCCACTCACGCTTATTGACTCCAAAGAGCGATACTTTGTAGTTGGAAAATGCAATGCCGCTAACGTTTGAAGATCGAACACAAGGTTTACCCATTCATCTCGAGGCACGTCGGTTGTAGTCAGTGGCAATTGCACATGCAGCGTCGTTTGTACCAGCTCGCGAAAAGCTGACGCAATGACGAATCGACGACGCACTTTTTGAACATCAGCAAAGCACATTTCCACGGACAATGACCGCGTAAATGGCACGAAAAGCTGCAAAAGAACAAACCGTTGGGTCAATCCAAGAGAGCACGACGTCGTTTTAGGCAATTGCATTTTGGTTTCAGCATTGCCATCAAAAAGAAACACGTTGCCTTTGATCCCTTTGTCAAACGTTTTCGAAACTTTACCTTGAATCTTCCATGCAGCAGCTGGCGACTTGCCCTGCGCACTTAAGAGCTCAATAAAGTCACCACCTTGAAAATATGTCATTTCTAACTGAACAATGCTCTACAAATAGCAAGAAGCATGTCCGTTCACCACATCAAGTTTCCATTTAATTTGCTTAAGAAAAGAAAATAGGCTAGATTACAACCATGATGTATTTGTATCATCATGAGGACTTGAGACCATTGGCTTCGATCCTGGTTGTTGTACGTAGACATGGCTCTGAGTCTCAGACTCGCCTTCTAGTCTTGGACGGCGCTCTTGAGTCTGCCATCGCTGCACAAGGTTATGCACGTCTTTCATGAGAATTAATTGATTTGGAGACTGCTCTTTCAAAAACTCAAATACGCGACGACGTGTCGCTCCAGTTCGCCAGAGATGCTCTGCTCGTGCGAGCACTGCTGGGTCACGTACACGACGTACTTCAGAGTACTGTTGGTACAGTGCTTCCGATAATTCGTGATTATGCTCGGCCAAGTGTTTTGTAACAACGACACTCCAGTTGCTTGATCCATCCGTGCGCTGTAGAGTGGCACACACTTTTGCGGGGCATTCTGTGGCTCGAACATTGTGACTCAGACGTTGTCCACGCCCTCGACTTCGACGTTTCCAACCATGCGTGCAGAGAAAAGTTTTTGAGTACCAATCGTACTCTTCTGGCACTAAATGTGCTCGTGAGATGCCATGATCCCCTTCTTGTTCCGTCTCGCTTGCATCATCATTTCCACCTTCGCGCACCACAAGACCTCGACTAGCAGCCAATTGCCGAAGGCGAATGTTACGTGAGCGTACGGAATACGTCGTGCGCACGCGATATAGTTGAAATGTAGCAATAGAGTACGTATCTAAATATTTGTGAAATATATCCCAAGTTGGATATCGCCGCAATATTCGAGGTACACGCCAAATTGTGGCTCCACTCTCTGTCGTCACCTTTTCAATCTCGAGCTTCGAAGATGGCTGCCAGACTCCGTCAGTCTCTGCAAACATTTTCGCATCTTCATCAGAATTTACCAAAGTATCTGTGGATCCCATGGGCTCGCTAGCAGGGACAATTGTCACGTAGTTGCCACCTCCTGCAATTCGAAAACACGAGCACTGTGTAGCTTGATTATCAGTGAAACCCATTGTTCCATCATCCGTTCCAACTGACGATCCGTGAACCCGACATGCTCTAGAAATAACGCTTGAACCAGAAGGGGGTAATGTGCTCGTCACTGTCATTCCTGAATTGTTAAACAGCACAACATTGGCTGAATTTATGGCATTGGAAGCCACAGTGGCGCTATGTTGTCCAATATTTTCAGCATTCATGAATGCTGGTTGGGTATGTTGTTGTTGCACTTCGTGTTGCTGTTGTAGCAATCCTTGCTGTGAAGTTTGCGCTTGAGTAGGAAGGTAAGAGATAGTAGAGCTATACGGAAGCAGAACAACTGACGGGACGGTCTGCTGTGCAATCGAGGCGCTGGCAAGGGATGCTGGCACTCCACTCATGCCAAAACTCGTAGATTGATTAATACCAGACAAGCTTAAAAGATGTGCTTGGTTCACCGCTTCTGCCAACCCAGCTTCGAGCTGCATCGAGAGCACACTTTTAGGATGCAATTGACTTTCATTGGATTGAATATTTGGTCTATCCGCATCAGTAACCATGCCATCATGCTTCTGTAAGCTCGAGCTACCCGTTTTATGGGTCGTGACAATGCTGGTATTTGACGTATCAATCGCGAGAAGCTCTGGGTCATATATCCGACGGTTTTCACAATAGTGCTGGTACAATTCCCGAGACAAATTGTGGTTATGATCAACAATATGTTTTGTCACGACCACACGCCAGCAACTTTCTGACGTCACCTCTTTGCTCGCAGCCGACATAGCGTCCTTTTCCAGCATTGTGGATGGAGTCAGATGCTGAACGGTAGCACAGATCTTTACAGGACACGCAGTAGAGCGCACACCATGTGCGTTGCGTTTTCCTGTACCACGGTGCCGCTCCTTCCAGCCATGTGTGCACGTTAATGTCTTTGAGTACCATCTCCAAGATTCCGGAATCTTGCGTGTTGCATTGACTTCATCTAGCGGTGTATCCAAATCACTATCAGTGTCATTTTTGTCATCAATCTCCTCGCTTTTGCTTTTCATTTGAGCAATCTTTTTGTTTCGTCCTTTGACTGAGCTGGTCGTTCTAGTACGATAGAGCTGATACGTAGCGTTTGAGTAAATTCTAAGGCTTGCATGAAAATCATCCCAAGAGCTAAATATTGACTGGAGTCGAGGCACCCGCACGACGATTTCGCGCTGATTTAACGGTGAGGGTTGTGTCTCATCAACGTCTGTTTGTGTATCGACAACTCCAGATTGTGTCGAAATTGTTTGCAACTCTATCAATGAAGAAGGATCTGCACTGGATGTCGGTGGTACCGTAGTTGAATCATATGGCTGCTCATGCGATAGCATGCCAGCAAGTTCACCAAGAGGCTCGTGGTATGTAGCACCAGGATCGTCAATTTGGCGGCCTAATCGATGGTTATGTTCTACCACTTGACGATTGATGATAACACGCCAGTTCCCGTTGACATTGCGCTCCATCCTAGCCAGCAGCATAGCTGGACAAGGTCTATCGTCCTGCTCGCATTGTTGTGAGGCATTACTTCGCCCTCTGCGCTTCCAGCCATACGTGCAAATAAGCAGTTTCGAAAACCATTTGCACTCATCAGGAATCAAACGTGACTTTGGAGCGGCTGTGGTATAATTCACATAGCTTGCCACATCATGACCTTCGTCTACTGTTTTTGCAGCTATTGATGCAAGAATTTTGGCGTTCCGAGCAGCAACTGACACTGTCGATCGAGTGCGATAAATTTGAGATGTATCAAACGCGTATTGTGCAATGTAATCGTGAAATGTTTTCCAGCATGTATGTACCTTTACCGATACACGGGGTACACAGTAGCCGCCTCCATCCATTGCTGTCGAAGGTATCGTTCCTGGCGTCAAAATCATCGTACCCAAAGGCGGCATCGGTGTATTTGTAGCAGCTGAAGTCGTGCGCGGCTGGCTTTCGAAGCTGTTGTCGGAGTCCGGAATCCGTTGCATATTTGTTCGGCTGTCAATAACAACTCCAGTTGACGATGAATCTGGCACAGAATAGATTGATGAAACCTGTTGCTGGATGCCCTTAGAGAGGCCCGATCGCTGATAAGCCGGATCGATAAACGAGGAAAGGTTCGCATTTTCAAAATCGATAGATGGCTTTGCTGCAAGCAGGTCAGGGTCATAAATGCGCCGGTTTTCCGTGTAATATAGATACAACTCTTTTGACAATTGATGGTTGTGAGTCCGTACATGCTTCGTCACCACCACTTTCCAATCGTCAGGACCACTTCCACGATGCTGCAAAGTCACGCACATTTTCGCTGGGCAACTGGTCGAGCGCACTACTCCCGAACCACGCTTTCCTGTACCACGATAGCGATTTTTCCATCCGTGCGTACACTTAAGCGATTTGGAATACCATTGATAACGTTCTGGGATTAGAGTTTTCTCACCAGCAAGATCCATCTCGTGGTTACTTGAGATCATACCGAGTTCGATCCTCGCCCTCTTGAACGTACCGACTTTAGGAGTAAGACTTCCTTTTCCGGAACTTTCTTGAATCTTGATATTACGGCGTTTCACGGATGTGGTAGAGCGAATGACATAAAGTTGGTACGAATTCTTCCCGTAAATTTTCAACGCTTCATCCAATGCCTCCCATGAGTCATGAACCGTCTCAAACTCTGGTGCGACTACCAATTGCGTCGTCAATGAAGCTGACACGGCCATGTTGCCACTTCGGTGTTGGATAGGTACACTTAAACCGTCCATCTGGCTTGTTATTGTCGTGGATTCTTGAGCTTCCGGTATCGTGTTTGGGTCTAGGAGTGGAACATTGCTAGCTATAGTGGTAGAACCAATGCAGTCTGATAAAGCGGTACATGTGACTTGAATTGGGATCTCGTCAGGAGCATTAACAGTTGTCTCGTTATTATTACACTGAACAGAGAAATTCTTGTCTGCCAAGCCTCTCTTGGTCGCCATTTATTTCTATCAGTAGCACTAGATTAGTGGACGCATGAGAGGAGCGAACATGTTTAGAGCTGCGTTTTGACCTGCTTCGACTGGCGCAAATCGGTGCCACAATTTGGCACACGTGTCCACTCGGGTGTGCGACTTGTGGGGGTTGTGTGGCGTCTAAGCGCTGGAACCACAAAAAAAATACCCACAGCTGATATGGTCGTAGTTGTGCAAAAATCGTGTTTTGAAAGGGTCAAAACAATAATAATTGTAATAATATTCACAGACAAAAGCAGCGCAGGAATTTTGACAAACTTAACTGAAAATGCTCTTAAATCTAATTCCGCCCAATAGTGTTTCTAGAATACTGACACGTGATCAATCAGGAAGCATTCTGCGTAGGCAAGTCGTGGTTGTTACTCCACCGAGGGGCTCGCCGCACTTTGCGCAAAAATGATCTCTTACAGCTCCATGAATTGGATACGATGGGTCTGCAAATTGCAAATTTATCAGACTGATGTCCTTAGTTATGGCCCTTCCTTGATACGCGACGCATCGACGTCCGCCACATTCATTGCCTTTCTGGTCCTGCTTACAAACCCCACTTGAGATGATTGTCACTACGTTTTCCAAAATCTACAGCATTCAAGACCCTTCAAAAGCCACTTTTGTTGGGCCTTTTCCACGCCTGTGAATTCCACTATGCAGTATCAGGTCGAGTAGAAGACTCAAACTGCAGCGGGGCTGTCGTAGCTTAGCACTTAAAGAAGCGTACTTTAGGTTACCGACCTTTCGTTCTTTACAAGAACCAAGTATGATTAGCGGATCGCAATCCGCTTTTATCAAGAGTGATTATTTCCTTCCCAAGGCTAATCGACTCTTTGGTTTAAATTCCAACTGATTTTTATTTGTTTTTTATTCTAATTTTAAAAGTTTAGATTTTCCTAAATATACTTAATAGATATAATAAAATCTAAATACATGCATAACTACTGGCTACCTAGCCACATACCGTATTCTTGTTT